TCTACTTCTAAAATAAGGGGAAGGAACAGTTAATTCAATTATTCTAGTCCAAAGTTACAGGTTTTATTTTTAACATTCAGCCACGTAAGTTAAGGAGGGTCATTACGTAACATACTCATGTTATACAGCACAAGTCAATTGTTAAGAGGTTTAGAGTTAATCCTATAGTGCCTATTGCAAGATATTTACAGACATTAATGAGGAGAGAAAATAAAAATGGGTAATAGGAGCTCATTAGTACAACAATTCGTTAGACATGGGTCTGTGGATTTCTGTACACATGCATGCATGATTTGTGCTTAAATAGTTGGTGCACTTTGTTCTGTGGAGACCCAGCCACACCTACTTGTCCGTGCCCACTTGGCCGCACTGAGTGAGTATTGCTGAGTCAACAGCGTCGAGTTAGTTGCACCCACTCCCCGTATCCAGCCATCCATGTTGACCTATCTGCATCCACTTGGTTGAGCCAACCTGGCTGCTGTGAGTTGTCCTTAAACCCTTTTGAATAAATTGCCAGCCACCAGGAATTGAGATTGATTCAAAGTCGCACAAAAAAAGGAAGTAAGATCATCCTTCTGAATCACATATATTTCTAGGTCCTTGTCAGTCTCCCTTCCTTCTATTTTATATAGCACACCTCATTTATTTCATTTTTCTTTAGAATTTTCCTGAGTGTCTGATGACTCAGAGCAGCCAGCCCACTATGAATGGGTGGGCACAACTGGGTGGACACGACTGGGCGGGTGTGGCCAGGTGGGCGTGAGGAAGTGGGTGCAACCGGCTCTAACTGCCCACAGATAGGAGTTCGATCCTGACAGGCTGAAGGTTGATTCAGCCATCCATTCTTCTAAGGTCAGTAAAATAAGAATCCAGATTGTTGGGGGCAATATGCTGACTCTATAAATGGCTCAGACAGTACTGTAAAATAGTATGGAACAGTATATAAGTCTTAACTGCTATTACTAGTGCTATTTAAGGGTCCTGGAGATAAAGCTTTATAGTAGCAGAGTTTCGGTATATAAAATTGTTCTTGCCATATTTATGCTCAGAAATAAAACTTGAAAACTGAAAGTTTACAAGTTAGTTCACTAAGAAAACTTGATGCAGAGTCGGGGTTGATTAGAAAGATGAAGATTAGAAATAGAATTAATAACGTTCAAAATACAAGGAAATCTATCTTTCATATGATTGATCACTCATCACTCTCATACTATTTCACACCTATGCAGATTATCAGACAGGAATCTCTTCAAACTGGTATCCACATACTGAAGGCAATCTTCTCTTTTTCACGTTCCGAGATCAGAAAAGAATACATGTGAAGGACTGGGGCCAATGGACTCATTTTATTAGTGCAATATTATTCTTACTACAAGCTACAGTAGCTGAGTTCACATTAAGCCATAAAGAAGAAAATCAAATTTTGGCAATGCCAAAACCAGATAAAGGTGTTTCTTCCCTCTCCCAACCTTTGCAATTTTTAAATTTATAATGGCCTTGCTCAAGCTGAAGTTCTCCAACTCAAATCAGATGTATGCCAAGCTAAGGATAGGAGGAAGTCCAGCACAACTGGAGATTACCACTCAAAGTTAGTGAAAGCTATTTTATAAAGTCCATTCCTCAACATTAATGTTGAAGTACTGGAAGATGGAAGTTTAGATACCACCTGTGAAATTGTGCATCCCAATAAATCCCTAAGGAACAGGTGACCAACCTTGATATGGTACAAAGTTAAACAGAGCCAGGAGTGCGTAAATGTTTGCATGCAATTGTAATTACTCTGGGACTGAAGAGAAGAAGGACAGATTGTCATTTGATATATTGGACAGCTATAATAACTGGAGGTGTTGCCAGTTGCCAGCAAGTAATATATTACCTTTGCAGAATTGCCACTTTCTGCAAAAGCTCCCTCCACTCCCTATAAACTACAGTACGAAGAGATTCTTTTATGAGCACAATGAAGAATCTCTGCGTTGGGAAAGGAAGAAATGGCATTCTTTCAATGCTGAAATGTCAAGTCTTCCTGCTACGTGAAATTAAGTGACCGGACCAACCAAAACTTTCCATATAAAGAAACTTCTGCCTAGAACTTCAAAATGAATGGTGTTCTAAATATGCCATTATTTTTTTCTTTTATCAACTCAAGTCTTTCTTAACTATGCAAAGCTGTTTACTTTTATATTTTGTCGGTTCTTCTAAAATGGAAATGTTAATTCTGGAATCATTGATTACAGTCACATGATTCCTAAATTAGTTTCTGCTTGAATATTTTCAAATAGCATTAAGAAACTAAATAAATTTATTCTATATAAAAGCAGCAATTTTTTTTGAAACTAGCCATTCATATTGCTGCTTAAACCCAGAATGACACACCCTGCAGGAAATACTCTTTAAAATGCCAGAAAATTGGGAGGACAAGAGTTTTGTTGTATAATGTGCCAGTGCAAACAACAACATTCATATGGACGAGAAGCCTTTGGGCCATGTGGTTAGCAAATGCTTCGAGTATGATTGTCAAAGACATTCTGTGTTTGTTAAATGTTTAGGGCTCATGTACACACCTTCCTTGCCTCAATACCGAGATGCATAGATGTCTACCTCACAGCAGAGCTTCTTAGTACCAGCAAAGATTATCTTGCAAACGTTAGTGTTTCCATTGGGAAATGGAGCAAATCTATGTAAACTTTCTATGAATATGGAGGAGACACCTGAGGCCACCTCTGTAGACCCCTTTCCATCCAGTCATGGGGTTTCAGGACTCCTCCCCCCTCTAAAAGCAGCCACCATGGCCCTGCTGCATTTCCCAAGCAATATAGGATGGGAGGAAAGCATATCAAAAGCTGTAATGGGGAAGAACTCTTGAAAGCACCAGGAATAATTTATGAGAGAGGGAGCAACACCAACAGATGCCAGCAACTATGGGGCCCTATCAACTTTGAGGAAGAGCCAGAGGGAAGAGTTTCTTTAGCATGTGGAGTGAAAATATCTTATTTATTTATTTTTATTTATTTATTTATTTATTTGATTCGCCAATTGTTTACAAGATAATAAGTATAAGTGTATACATAGTTGTGAATACATGATATGGGTACATATAAGAAAAATAAAAGAATAAGAGAAACAATAGGACAGGGACTTATTGCCACTTTATTTCTAGTCCTGTGCTCCCAGCTGCATCAGATCTGCTGCCTATAATTTCTGGAAGTGAAAAATCTGGAGGACCCGAGTTGGGAAAAACTACCTCAATTTAAGTCATTTGAGATTAGTAGACCTCCCACTCGCTCAGTATTAAAGTAGATAATCTTGTGTCAGAGGATTTAAGATAGCAAGGTATAATTCAGATAAATACAGTGGGACGGAACAAATTTCAAAATATGGTTCCTAGCCTTTGGCCTAAGGCTGTATCAGGCTTCTTCAGAATCTTCCAGTTTTCTTGACAAAATATATAATTGAATAATACTGTTATGTTTAAAAATCTAAAGCAGAAGTGGGCTAATTTTTTGTGCCTGTACCGGGTATTTACATTTTTGAAACTTACAATTAGTGTCTCCAGCCAAGACAAGCAGTGAGTCAGGGGTGCAAAGTGGCGAGCCTGAATCATATATAGCTGGAAGTGAGTTTTTCCTTTCTTCCTGAATTTGGGAGGACTATTAAGATTTACATTGGTGTTTATGAAGAAGGTTTTTTTTTAATTTCCTAGGCTCCAAATTAAGGAAAGTAATTGCAGTTGATGGGGGGGGAAACCCAGGAAGTGATTTGAAGATTCCATGTGACTTTGGAATTATAAATGATTTGGAAAACTATGGGGTGGTACAGTCCGAAATGGAATAATCCAAGATCCAAAATTAAGGAATAACTAACTATTTCATCCCCATTTTCATCATTCACATTTGGCTGTGGTGTTGTGCTCTTTGTGTATATATTCCACTGGGTACATGCTATACCACTGTTTGCATATATGATACACAAATGAAACAGGTCAAGAAACAGGCTTAAACTCCAAGGAATTGTAACAAAGAACATGGTAACATTAGTAGTAGTTGTTGTTGCAAAGTCGTGTCCGCAACCCCATGGACAATGTTCCTCCAGGGCTTCCTGTTTTCTACAGTAGTGGGATTCAATTTTTTTTTACTACTGATGCTGTGGGTGTGACTTGGTGGACATGGCAGGGCGTGGACGGGGAATACTGTAAAATCTCCAGTCAGAGGTGGTATTTGGCGGTTTTCTAAACTACTCAAAATTTCCGCTACTGGTTCTCCAGAACTGGTCAGAACCTGCTGAATTCACCTCTGGTCCTCTACCATTCCCCAGAGTCCATTTAAGCTCACACCAACTGCTTCAGTCACTCCATCCAGCCACCTCATTCTCTGCTGTCCCCTTCTTCTTTTGCTCTCAGTCTTTCCCAGCATTAGGCTCTTCTCCTTCCTTCTCATTAGGTGGTCAAAGTATTTGAGCTTCAGGATCTGCAACATTATTTAGGTCAGACTAAACATGGATTCCTGCAGCTTTTAATCAAGCTTGGTTGATCAGAATGAGAGTCTGACATTTGTTTATACAATGTCTTTTTTTTTAACTGCTTCAATACATTCTTCTCCTTGCAGCAGCTATCATCCAAGCACAGAGATAGTTAATTGTGCTCTGGGCTGGGCAGTTCCAAATACCTAATAAGTTTCACTTTGCCCATCATGTGATTAGATCCTCTTTTTTTTTCCCCTCTTTCTTCTTACGCCCATCCTTTACTTAGAGTTTGGCCCCAGTGTAAATAACTTTTCCTGCCTGTTTGTCATTTGGCAGAGCCAGGGAGCTCCCCATCTTGGGCTAGGAGTTTCTTTACAATGTTCTATTATTTTTTTCTGTCTTCACCTTTTTTTTTTGTCATGAAAAATTCTATTCATGACTTATTGAAATGATTGCGCAGCTCACATCCAGGGAATTCCCCTTCTTTTCACCAAGCTTGTATCATATTATCAAGTCATAAGATGCCGGGCTATCTTTCACAAATGGACAACAGCCCCCCATTCCCAAGAAAGATTACAAGGGTAAGTGTTTGTTGTTGCTTTTACTTTTTTATTTGTCACCTGCCCAATTATTTTTCCCTTTCAAGGAGGAGTGGTCTTATCATCTGGCATTTTTCAAGTACCGGTAGTCACCTGGAATTTTAATTACACCCCATCTATGAATCCAGGCCAAGGCTATTTTCCTTTATTCTGGGGTGTGTGGAATAGGCTTCCTGCTCTCCTAGATATAGCTTGAAAAACTTGAAACCAAAATGTATGGTAGATTTGAGCAATTAAGATCTTTCCAGTTGCGGTGGTCACTTTCTCTGAAATAACAATTTGTATTTGTATTGCTGTTAAGTAGGTCTTGGGGAAATAATGCCCTAACCTTGGGATTTTTTTCAAATCACATTGCATACAGTTGGCTGAATGGTTGATTGAAATAATTTCCAGTGAAAGTTATTCATCCTTGTTCTAAATTCATCCCCTATTTATTTTCTTTCACTCATTGGGAGGATTTTTTTTAAATTTGTATATATTGCTGATTAATATATAAGAGCCCTGGTGCCGCAATGGTTAGAATGCAGTACTGCAGACTAATTGTTCTGACTGCCAGCAGCCAGCAATTTGGCAGTTCGATTCTCAACTGGCTCAAGGTTGACTCAGCCTTCCATCTTTCCTAGGTTGATAAAATAGTGCTCTCACATTGTTGGGAACAATATGCTAACTCTGCAAACCACTTAGAGAAGGCTGTATGAAGCACTGTGAAACATGCTGCCTGTAATGGAACCTGATATAATTCCGGAGTGATAGAGTAAATGTGGATGTATGTAGTAATGATTTGGTGGCTTGACATATTGGGCAAGCATGAAAAAACTAAGTCAAAACTTCAGGAGATTAAAGAGAGAAGAAGAAATCAGTTTCCTTTCCATCATCTTACTCATTTGTCTTCTTGTATTTTTACTAATTATCTCTCTTTGACTGAATTGCATGTTCCTATACCTACAAACATAATCAATCCTTTCTTAATGTCCCCTTTACAATATTGTTACTCTTGTGGTATATACATGTATGGGATCCATCCACAGGGAAAAATAGGTTTTCTTTCCAAAGCAGCTTTCACTGAAGAAGTCCAATTTAGTTGCTACAGGTTGCTTTAGAGGAAGTTTCTGCATACCTTTCTCAGCAATTTCATGGTATTAAATTGGGTGATACACAACATGTTACAAAACATATTGTCTCTCTATATTTCCTGACAAATATTAGCTAAACCCATCTAATAGCTGGCCCTTCTCTTTCTGTCCAATGTTCTGTGTTAGCTAAATGGGTTCAAAGATTTTTTCCTTTTGTGATATTCTCTTCCATTTCATCTCATTATAAATCTTTTCTTTCTTTCCAAATGGGTTAAATAATACATAGTGTTGAAATATGATCAGTTGACCCGGTGCAATAGAGCTGCATTTTGCTTTTCAGTTCCTGGCTAACAATTTAGAGCTACTCTTGAGTGATCCTCTAGTCAGGCATGCCTTCTATCAGCTTAGGTTTTTATGGCTCCCGAGTGTATTGGAGAAGGCAGATAATGTTATGATTGCTCATGAGGTGGTACAGGTGGTCCTCGACTTATAGCTGGCCGCTTAACAACCCTTTGAAGTTACAACAGGCCTCCCTGGAGATACTTACATTGAAAGTTCCAGGTCCAAAGCTCCAATGGCTACCTGTCCACAGTCTTGTGATCACCTTTGGGGCACTCAGCAATCGGACCACAATTCTAGCTATTCACGCTGTCTCACACTCAAGAGTACATTTTATGATGGTTTTGCCAAAAGGCAGCATTTATTTCTGATTTCACTGGGCAGCAAAGAATATCCTTACTGAACACTTTTGGATGTATCTTATGGATTTTTGGCTGCTAATCACAAAAATAAGTGTAATATAACCTATCACATACAATTTTATAGAAATCTCCTGTTTTTTCACAATGGCAATGTACATTCTTCAGTATCTGTTGGCTATGCTTTACACCTGAAAGAAACATATGAAAACATGGAACTATTGTTGAAGCACATCTAGTACACCAAGTACAACTGGAATATCTGCGGAGGTCTAGAAATAGTGGCTCTGCTCCTTGGAATTCAGCTCTCTATACCAAGTACTTTTGTTCCATACGCGAATGGGACAGCCATGCAAGAGAGTTTCATTAGTTTATTAAAAATGGCCATTTCAAAAGAGTTTGGTTCCAGGACAGAAAAATATGGCATATGAACTGCTTGTTGACCCAACAAAGAAATGTTTGCCTCTGCTTCCCATAAAACATGGACTGATGAAAATTTTTGTGAAAGTGATGAACAAAGAAGGTGAAGGTTTTTGTTTGTAAAGACAGATGTTTCCAATAATAATTGATGCCAAGTTTAAGGAAGGCGTTTTTGTTGGTCCACAGATCAGATATGTCATCAATGACAAGCAATTTGAAGATCTGTTGGTGGAGCTAGAGAAACTCTCCTGGAAAATATTTGAAAATTGAGAATTGCTTTGGCAAGTACAGAGCACCAAACTACATTCAGATGGTTGGAAAATTTCTTATGACATACAAAACCATGAAGGGCACTGAAGATTCATTTTCTGCATTGACATTTGGACTTCTTGCCCAAAAATGTAGATGCAATCAGTGAGGAACATGGTGAAAGGTTTCACCAGGACATTGCCATAATGGAAAAATGGTATTGGGACAACTGGAATCCATTGATACTGGCTGATTATTGTTGGCCACTGCAGCAAGTTGTATCAGACACTGAGTACAAATGTAGCAAAATACTTTTAGCCCACACTCATGCAGTGTGTTATGTGATTAAGTACATTACAGCCATTAAAAGTCAATTTCATATATCTCTCAGATTCTTACATGATTACATGATATAATCATTCTGAAATTATATTTATTTTCAGTTTGAAGGGATCTATCATAATCACCAAACAATTTTTAAGAAGCCAAACCTTTGAAAAAAATTAGTTATTTTTGACAAAACTGGCTCATAACAAATCACTGGTACATTTAAGGATCACAATAATCATTTTATGTCTCTAGCGTGCACTTAATGACTGCTGTAAAGAAGGTCATAAATTCAGGTTAGTCACATGGGTGGTCTATTTTACAACTATTGCAACTTACAACCATGATGGGCACAGTCCTTTATGGTCATAAGTTGAGGATTATCTGTAACATCTAGTTTAGTTTATTCAGTATATTTTGATGAGTTCGGTTGATCCCACAAATACTAGAAATTTTACTAGAAAAAAATTTCTATTATTTATTTCTCATTTTGGGGTCCAATTCAGAGTAGTGACTTTTACTTTTCAAGCTTCATTCTGAGGATCTCGTCCATGTCTTCTGGCTAATTGAAGTGTAATGGTGGGAATGAAAGATAAAGAACTCTAATCATGCAGGCCCCATTGTCCAAGGTCATCTTCCTGCCTTGTCACTATTACTTTTCCAGCACAAAGTGAAAATGGTTTCCAGCAAACTTTGAGGATAACGCAAGAGCACATGCTGATCTATTGTACAATTATGTAGTTGATATCCCTTAGTTCTTTTTTCTCTTGGATGCTGAGATTTGTATTGAAGCACCGATGCTTTTTTAATGTTTCACCTTCATAGTGTATGTTTATGATTAGATTTTTCCCAATATGATTTGTGATTGAAAATCAGAATTAAGATGGCAGGTGATAGGTGGAAAATCCATTTGGTTAAAATAACTAAAGTTAAATGTTAAATCACTTGTAAAGTGGTTGCTTATTCTACCTAAGATATTTGACCAATATCACATTTAAATATACAATGCAATCTATTGCCATGATATTTAAGGTTTAGTCAGCGTCTGTCCATTTTCTCTAGGTCCCAGATTCAATGTTCAGCATTAGCTACAATGGAAAAGTTCTATTTACAGACTGGCTAGAGGCATGCCTAATTCCCATTGTGGATTAATCTCCATCCGTAAATAAACTTGGATTCCTCCTCCTGACATATTTTGTACTATCTAATTGCTATCCCATCATCTTCAATTACATTGAATGGTCTAAAATTTTCCTCATTCTAGTTTTCTGAGAGTGGAACCTGCAGAGGTTTCCCTCCTGCAGATTTACTTTGCCTTGTCTAAAATGTAAGACCTACGTATCAACAACAGTTTCTTCTAGTTGATTTCTATGGGTTTTGCCATTACAAAGAAGGATCCAGTGACTTTCCAGGTATTGCTGAACATTGTTGGACTGCAAACAAGCCCAGCTAGTGTACTGAATGCAGCAGCATATGACAGTTTCCAGAGAAACAAGGGTTTCTTATTCCTGGTCTAATCAGTGCCAGTGTTAAAGGGAAAAGGGTATATTTTGTAAATTATTATCCATGTTTTCTGTAATCAAAGTATAGAATCAAAGTATATTGGGAAATCAATTCCATCCTTCCCTGCTGGTTCTCATTTTTTTAATTATTATCAATAATAAGCAACCTAGGAAATACATGCTTGGTGCCATTTCAGGTTAAACATAATGGCTTGAACAGGTCTTCCTCAGATAACATCTTCTGTCTTTCCCATCTCCATCTGGTTGAAATTCTGGGAACCATAATGCCATCTTATGTAAAAGGTATCAGCCTTGAGGAAGCTTATTCAGGATGACTCTTAAAAATGACAGTAAACTTTTGAGAAATCAAAAGTATTTGATTTGACTTTTCTTATTTGTCTCTCCTAGCACCTGACCTTTCCACTTCTTGCTGTTACACTCCTGTCATCATTTGGATCCTCCATGCTGTATGGCTTCAATCTGGCTGTGGTAAACTCTCCAGCGGTGGTAAGACAGAATAGAAGGTGGAAAGTGAAATTATTCTTCTCCTAAACAAGCAGAACAATGCAGTGGTGCAACGGATTGTCCTGTTGTTCTTAAACTATAATTCGCAACATTTCTCACCATTGCGTTTGTGGACTGGTTTACGAAGCTACAATTCAGAAACAATCAAGATTTCCCATCACTGGTCTGACAGAAAGCCCTTTCCATTTCCTGACCTTAACAAGATAGCTAGCTCTCTTCTTTTTTCCAGTGTTCTTCAGTGTTTTGATTGATATTATCCCCTCCAGGCATCACTGGCCTTCAGCTGACCCAGGCCTTGTGAAAATTGACCATGGTAAATGTGGAGCTAGGATTGTGGCAATCTTCTCTTTATCAGTCTTCCTTTCCCTCCTTTTGCAGCACATCAAAGCCTTCTACAACGCAACATGGTATCAACGCTATGGGCAGGGCCTGGCTCAAGGACCTCTCACTCTCATGTACTCCCTGACTGTCTCCATTTTTGCCCTGGGAGGCTTTGTGGGGTCATTTCCTGTGGGAATTCTGGTCACCCAATATGGGAGGTAAGAGCTGTGTCAACAAGAGTTACCATGTGGTAAGATGGGGGACCAATGAATTTAATAATAAATAAATAATAAGGTAGTGATTCTCAATTATACATAGAGAGCATGCAAACTAGCAGCAATACTTGATATACCATGAAATCACTGCCACACCTAGGACATTTTTTTTTTTTTTGTAATCTCCAGTGTGTTAGGTTACAATTTTCATTCTGCATGGATAATATCCCCAATATTCTGTCTGTGAGTGAAGTTTGCTGTGGAACAACACATAAGAAAATTACCAGGATAAGAAAACTTGCTTATAGTATATTAAAGTATTTAAATATATTTTCTGTTTATTAACTTTCAAGATAAATGAGCACTTTTTATTGTCCTTGGGTTGTCTTAGAACTTCATTTTGTTAAAGGAGGAATTTCAATAATGAAAATAATTAAATAGATAATTGAGTTAATCAGCTTGACATACTGAGAAAAGCCTGACCCGTTCCTTTTTGCCCACCTTTCAGTCATGCCCTGCATTTAATTTAAAGTCTCTCTGAATCATTTATGCTGTCATAAGAACAATATCTGTATTTATGCTCTAGTAAGCTCTCCTTTTTTTGCTCTAAGTTTTTGTTATCAAAATCATCAAACTAGATACAGCGGTGTACAATGAATTGTTTGGCTGGGCAGTTTATTTCTTATTCCATCTGATAAATAGTCCTCATGGGAATTAAGAAAGGGGAATGCCAATCTATTTTAGGATAAAGAAGAAAAGGGGGTTGTGGTAAGACAATTTTGGGAAGGCAGAAGAAGAGAAAAATATGAGAACAATTAAATATTTTGTCTTTTCGTTACCAGGAATGGCACTTTGATCCGTAGCAACTTCCTTGTTCTGTTGGCTGGCATGTTAATGGGATTCAGCCGCTACTTGGGATCCCCTGAAATGGTCATTTTGGGGCGCTTCATCATAGGGATTCATTCTGGTAAGATCTTGCTGCATTAATGAAAGAGAATATTTGTAACTCAGGGTTGAAATGAGGGGACCTTGGTGGTCTTTGAGCTTGGTTGTTTTCTTGCAGATGTTTCATTACCCAAATTAGGTAACATCATCAGTGCTAGTCATGATGATGTTACCTAGTTTGGGTAATGAGACATCTGCAAGAAAACAACCAAGCTCAGAGACTACCAAGGGCCTCTCTTTCTGTATCAATATGCTTTCTCCCTTATGTTTCCATAAAGTAAGTCAAGTACATGAATTGGTTTTTGCAGTTTTTATAGAAGCATTGATCTTTTAATCCCATTGTGGTTTTGGAATGTTTTTATTGAAGCTACAAACTGTTGCAGAATTTGGAGAGATGTATGCAGCCTATCTCTGGTCTCCCACCCTTTTTGGTTGCACCAGATTTCTCTGTGGTTACAATGTATAGGAACATCATTATACAAATGAAAAGTTAGTTAAGAAAGTAAACAAAATGATCGTTCTGAGTGAAAGCAGTCCTAAAAGGTATAAAGACAATTGCTATAGGCATAATAATAAATGATTGTCAAATCAATGGGCATGTATGCAACAAATGTGCAGGTCTCAGAGTTAGATGGAAAATAATCCATTTTCCCACTCTCACCCCACATACAGGTTTTGGGGCTCTGAACCTTCTGGCAACCAGAAAATAGGCAACCATTACAAAATAGCATTTACACTAGCCTTTTCCATCTTAGTGTCTTCCAGGTACATTGGACTACAGCAGGGGTGTCAAACTCAAGGCCCGGGGGGTGCTTAGATCTGGCCTGGGGGCCACTCTGGAAATAGTGAAGAACCGGACCATGGTGCCTCTGCCAGTGAAAATGGCGCAGCCCTCCCGAGCTCCATTTTTGCTGGCAGAGGTTGCAGCAGGCCGTCACAGCCAAAAACTGAGTTTGGGAGCCAGTTTTCGCTGGCAGAGCCACCACCGGCACTCACAATATGAGTGACGTTGAGCTGGCCATGCCTACCCCATCCATGCCCGCCCTGGCCCCCCAAGGTCAAACACAACCCAGATGCAGCCCTCAATGAAATCGAGTTTGACACCCCTGGACTAGAGGTTGAAAAATTCCCAGGTAATATGAGCACTGTAGCCCAATTTGAAGGATAGCAGATTGAAGAAGGTTGAGCTAGCTATTTCATTTGCAAATAAAGTTCCCTGTTGAGCTTGTCTTAAAATGAAAAGAAAAATGTCACCTTCTTAATTCAGGAATTGAATCCTTGCCTAGCATGTTCCTAAGTAATTGACTGCAGATTCATTTCAAAAGCAGTCTGAATTAGGCTGTTTTCCTAAGAAATGACATGCCATAATGAACTAATTATAATGGTGTCACATTTTTATCTTTTTACTGTAAAGGTGACTTTTTAATTATTTATTTTGTTTATTCAGTTGTCAGCTTGAATGTCGCCTCAATCACAAGAAACTCTAGGTGGCTTACAGAATGGGATTAAATTATCAAATACTGTATGATATCAGCTAAATATAAAAATGTTGGAAATACATCATCTTTCTTCTTTTTCTATCCCTCTGTCAGGCATCTGCCTCAGTGTGGTGCCCATGTACTTGGGAGAAATTGCCCCAAAGAACCATCGGGGATTCCTGGGCCTGGTTCCAAGTATCTTTATTTGTCTGGGGGTCTTTTCTGCCCAAGTCCTGGGCCTTCCAGAGCTTCTGGGGGAGGTAAATGCTATACTTTCACCTTCTGGATGAAATGAGGTAGGGCAGAGCACCCAATGAAATGAAATCCCTCCGCTGTTTGGGAAGTCAGCTGAAGAAATGGCAAGAGCACCATTTTCTATCCCAGAATTGTTCTCCCACTGGCTTAGATAAGGTAAATGGATTCGGCTTCCTTGAAGCCCAAATCTGTTTTTCCATGCTGCCTGCTTCTCCAAGCATACAGAGCTTCTGCAAGTAGTTCACAAAGCCCTTTGTTTCCAATGTTTCTGCTCATCAGGTTGTTTATTTCTCATGCCTGTGAGTTAAATGCCATCTTTCACTTTGGCCTTCAGTAGTTTGCTTGAGACCATTATTTTTCACATACCGGAAATAATACATACTGTTCTATCCACTCTAATTTCTACATACACACCCACTTTTCCAGTAATCCAGTCATACTATCCTGTTCATGATAAACATGAACGAAGATGAAGGGAAGCAGCTATCGAAAGAAAGCTGATCATAGGCAAAGCTGTTGAGCACCTGTCCACATCACATGTTATCTTTGCTTGGGGAATAGTGCTAATAAATAAACTTACGTTGGGAACTTTCTTTCTAGGATGCCTATTGGCCTCTTTTCCTCTCTATAGTGGTGGTTCCTGCTTTTCTGCAGCTCTTGCTACTGAGTTGGTTTCCTGAAAGCCCTCGTTACTTGCTTATTGAGAAAAATAATGTCCATGGAGCTGCTGAAGGTAAGCTGAACACATACTGCTATTTGTTCCCCATACTGTAACCAACGTTAAGTAGGGACAGAGATTTCTTAGGAAGAATGGAAAAATCAGGTTTTTCTAAGAGCATTTGATGACTTAGACAGGAGTGATAAAAAATGCCTGAGATGAAATATTAGATTCTGATGATCTACTGGCGGTTTGACAATGGTTTAAGGATAATTATGACTGATTTTTCTATCTGGATAGAACTATTTATGGTTTTATTATATTACTGTTACTGTATTGGTGTTATTTATTTATTTATTAAGATATAAGTTATAAAAAAAACAAAAGAAAGAAAGAAAGAAAGAAAGAAAGAAAGAAAGAAAGAAAGAAA